AGTCAGCCTTCCTGCTCCTCTGATGCTGCTTGGCCTGCTGTGTTCATCCAGCTCTACACCATGTTATCTTTAATTTTAGTATAACCGTGGTCAAGCAGTCTGCTGGCTGTCTCAGCACCTCTTATTTCCTCTCACACAACATTCATGCAATTGAGGGAAGGTGGGGATTGAAATGAGTAAGAAAAAATCAGCGTACTGGGCCAAATTGACTTTCTCTGCGTCTAAAAATTCTTAGGTTCTATCTTTTGCATCTTTGCACACCTGCAATTATACATTGGACAACAACAAACTTAATTATCTTTCTGTCAACTGCATTATTCTCTTAATACCTGTTGTAAGCAATAATTTTTGAATGTTTCACATTCTATTCTGACTTTATCTGAAGTGCACAAAACCCACGTTTATATGAATATTTCCAAGAACAACCAAATAACACAACCGGGCGTAGTAGATTATCATCTAGGCCCAAACTAAGAGGACCAAGAGTTGGTTTGTGAGCCACATACATAATCAGGAAGAACTGCCTTCACTTATCGAAGAGAAAAGGAATTCTGTGTCACCAGCCTCACTGGCAGTGATCTTGAAAGTTGAGGCTGACGTCGAGCACTTGTTTGCCAGGACAACGGAATTGGGAACTACGGCTAGGGACCCCCTTCTTATCACTCTGATCTCATCCTATTTATAACATCACTAATCCATAACCATCTATATTCAATATCATACATAATCCCAGTTTTGGTACCAGGGACTAAGGTCCAGGGTAGGAAAGCCTTTATCTCTCCATTATAACATCCATAATTCTTTTTTTTTATTCATTAATGGGATGAGGGCATTCACTGGCTAGGCAGCATTTATTGCCCATCCCTAATTGCCCAGAGGGCAGTTTAGAGACAACCACATTGCTGTGGGTCTGGAATCACATGTAGGCCAGGCCAGGTAAAGATGAGAGTTTCCTTCCCTAAAGGGCATCAGTGAACCAGATGGGTTTTTCCGACAATTGACAATGGATTCACGGTGATCATTTGATTCTTAATTCCAGATATTTTTACTGAATTCAAATTCCACCATCTGCCGTGGCAGGATTCAAACCCGGGTGCCCAAAACATTATCTGGGTCTCTGGATTAACAGTGTAGTGATAATACCACTAGGCCATCACCTCTCTTTACTGAGATTGCAACAACAAGAACACAGTTTGCATTTGTATTGCATATTTAACATAGTAAAGCAGCACAAGGCATTTCCCAAAAGCATTATCAAACCGCATTTGAAGACACAGCCACCCTGATTAAAATTGTACAACTGGGCCAAAATTGAAAAGGAACAGCGCTGAAGGACTGGAGGTGGCCTCATAAATAAAGCAGGGTAATTCTGGAAAGGTATTTGAAAACATATCTGGGAATGAGGAGGAATTTCATCTCCCTGAGGGTAGTGAATCTGGAATTATTTAGTGGAGAAAGCTGTTGAGATTGGGTCATTAAGGATATTCAAAGTTGATCAGAAAGGGAATCAATGGTTATGGGGAAATTGAAATTGAGGATTATCAGATCAGCCAAGATCTCATTGAATGGGAAAGTGGACATGACAGGCTAAATGATCTATTTCTACTCCTCTGTTTTATGGTAATTTTAAAATTAAAGAACTGGTGGGTTAGGAGCCAGTATTGATCACTGTGCAGTGAAAGGTGGCTGATATGGGACTTGGTTCATGTTAGAATACAGGCAGCAGAGTTTTAGATTAGTTCAATGTTATATTCGGTGGAAAACAGATAGACCAGACAGGGGAGGGGTGTTTATTGTTAGTAATGTTTAGAATATATTGTTACGGTTAGCAATAAATAAACTGAGCTTTAAATGTACCAACACGTAGCTCGGCGAAGATACAAGCTGCACAGGACACCTATACTGAAACTCTATGATTAAGCATTTGTAGAATTCTATTTTAACTGTAAAATTAGAACTTAATCCAAATAGATTTTGTGATTTTTGTGATCCTAATCTTTATCCCATCCAACTTCCACCCTTACATGTTTCTTCAGTGGAATGTTAAATCACTCTGAGGACATGTCATTACAGTTTCAGATTCTGAACAGAAATTTTATTGATGCCAACCTTTAGTGATATTTATGTTCTCAGTTGCTTTTATAGGATGTACTGCAACTTCAAACATGTTGCACTGAATAGGTTTGTGAAATGTTCCCTTCGCTCCACTGGTGCCCAGGAGTGTACTTCTCCAATCAGGAAGGTTGAAAGCTCAATTCCTATCTGTGATCGCATGGTTAGTCCCAGCCAGTTTGATGGTGACATTGCTCCAGAACCTACCTCAGCATTCCTGCTCGGAGAAGGAAAATCCACCTGTAGCCCTGTTATCTGGCAACTAATGCAAACAGTGTGGATATCAAGTAAGTAGGAAATGAGATTTGACTGTGAAATCTGTTATGTTTAAGGAGCCTACTG